GAGAAATCCTCGCTGCCTCGCACCATGTGGGGGGCTCTGCACAAGCCTCACAAAGTCCTAAGACCACTGCAGGAGCGGTGAGTCCCAGGGCTTTTCTCCATTTTTGTTTCTTAAAGGGCCAGAGCTGGCCCAGGGGGTCTGGGGGCTCATGCAGAGCCCAATGCAGTGGGGGGCAGCGGGGATTGCTCCCCCACCCAGCAGCACTCAGTTAACACTGGGGCTTTTCTTTAAAGGGCCCGGAGCTGGGCCGGGTGAAGCACCCATTGGGGGGATGGCAGGGGTCCCCCCATGTTCCCATCCCCCTTCCCTAGTACTTACCAGCTCGAGTTGGCTGCAGCTTCCTGCTGCAGCCACCAGGGACTGCCCAAATCATCAAAGCTCTTTTCCGAAGATTCGGAGAGCTTTGAATCGATTCAGACCTTTTAATTGGTCCCAATTCAATTTGGATTCAGAGATTTGGCTACCAAATCAGGCTGAATCTCCTCTGAATCAAATCACCACCCGAAACTTCGCACAGCCCTACTACTCAGTCCCTGCTTAATTTACCCTGATCATGCTTTTCTGTTCGCCTACAGCACCTTGATGTACTTATACCTTTAAGAAAAGGGAGGCTGCCCTGGGGATTCCCAAGACAGCCCTCATTGGCTCCAGTCTTGCTCCTAGGTTTGAGTCTGTTCTGGTTCTGTCTTTGAGCCCACCCTAACTCCCATATCCATGCTATTGCCAGGTAGCTAGTCTCCCCTGGGCACTGGACCCACTCTGGCCCCATCTCTGTCCCACTTCAGAGCATCTGAACTTACCCTAATCCTTTCTCCCCCACTTCACCAATGCTCTGGGGCCCTGCTCCCAAGCCTCTGCCCATCCTTCCTCTGCCCTGTTCCCAGGCTAGCCCTACTCCTCGGCCTCTTGGGGCCTCGTCCTCCTCATCATATTCCCCCAACCACCAATTGCTCCCACTTTCACCTCCCCTTAGTCCCTCTCCAAACCACCAGATATTAAATTTCATAGGCATTATTCATGAGCTGCAGCAACCCTGCCCAGATGTTCTCTCAGCAACTTCCCAGGGCCAAACTACCTGCCCAGCTCAGGCCTGAGTTTATATACTGCAAGCCCAGCCCCTTCTAGGCCATGTGACTCCTTATTGTGCCCTGCCACCTACTTCATTTGCACCCTGCTTGCTCTAAAAGTAGCAGAAGCACCAAGGTTCCTGTTAGATGCATTGTGTTTATATGTGGCTGTTTTCTCCCATTAATGAGAAACTAGAAGCTTTATTAATATTCTCAGAGCCTAGCACTAAATTATTTAAGATGAAAGCAAAAACAAATATAATTAAGAGTACATTCAAATCACGATTCCATGGTTTTCATGGAAACTGCAAAATCTGGAATTGTTCACAAAATCAATTAAAAAAAAACAACAAACCTAAATAAAAATAAAATGCTGGCTCTCCCTCACCCCTCCTCCCTACACCAGGGCCTCTCTGCTAATCAGCAATGAAGGGCGGGACTGGGCTGTCAAAGCACATCCAGGAAATATCTATGGAATTTGCTATTTATGCTATGACCAACCCACAAAAACTGTTTAGTTTCTCCACAATTTAAGCAGACCCCTATATTGGAATGGACACAAATTTGCTACATTTTATATATAAAGTTTAAAAAGCACAAACTAGACAAAAATAGTCCAAAATAGTTGTATTACTCCCGTAGTCATTATCTAGTTTCATAGTAGGTAGGGTCAGAAGGGACACAAGCAGATCATTAAGTCCAACCCCCTGCCCTGGGCAGGAAAGAGTACTGAGGTCAAACGACCCCGGCTAGGTGATTGTCTAGCCTCTTTTTGAAGACCCCCAGGGTAGGAGCAAGAACCACGTCCCTTGGAAGTTGCTTCCAGATCCTAGCCGCCCTGACTGTGAAGTAGTGCCTCCTGATGTCTAGCCCGAATCTACTCTCGGCCTACTTATGGCCATTGTTCCTTGTTACTCCCGGTAGTGCTCGGGGGAACAGGGACTCTCCCATTGCCTGCTGGTCCCCCTTGGCCAGTTTGTAGACGGCCACCAGATCCCCTCTCAGCCTTCTCTTGTGGAGGCTGAACAGGTCCCATAGCCTCCCCTCATAGGGCCTGCCTTGCTGCCCCATGATCATGTGAGTGGCCCTCCTGTGGACCCACTTGATGCTGTCCACATCCCTCCTGAAGTGCAGTGTCCGGAGCTGGATGCAGTACTCCAACTGCAGCCTGACCAGTGTCGCATAGAGGGGCAGGGTTACCTCCTTGGACCTGCTTGTGATGCATCTGTGGATGCAGGACAAGGTGCAGTTAGCTTTCCTGACTGCATCCCCATGTTGGCAGTCCATGTTCATTTTGGAATCAATAATGACATCAGGATCCTTATCTGCCTCTGTGCTGACTAGAAGGGAGTTCCTCAGCCTGTAGGTATGCTGCTGGTTCTTCCTCCCTAGGTGCAGTACCATGCACTTGTCAGTATTGAATCCCATCTTATTCTCATTCGCCCACCCCTCTAACCTGTCCAGATCCAATTGCAGCCTGTACCTCCATTCATGCCCACTTCTCCCCACATACTAGTGTCAGCTGCGAATTTGAACAAGGTGCTTTTCACCCCCACGTCCAAGTCACTGATGACGATGTTGAACAGTGCGGGCCCAAGGACCAAACCCTGGGGGACCCCACTGCCCACATCCCTCCAGGTCAAAAATGACCCATCCACCACCACTCTCTGGATGCAGCCCTCCAGCCAATTGGCGACCCATCTGACTGTGTAGGCATCGACACCACAGTCTCCTAATTTTTTAACAAGAATGATGTGAGAGACAGTGTCAAAGGCCTTCCTAAAATCCAAAGACTACATCTACCGCGACACCTGAATCCAAGGATTTTGTGACCTGGTCATAGAAGGCCACCAGGTTGGTCTGACAGGACCTGCCCCTAATGAACCCATGTTGGTTGCCCCTATGCATAACCTCTCCTGCTGGCCCCTCGCAGATGTGCACCTGGATAATTTTCTCAAAGAGCTTCCCCAGGACCGAGGTAAGATTAACAGGCCTATAATTTCCTGGGTCCTCCTTCCTCCCTTTCTTGAAAATGGGGACCACATTGGCCCTTTTCCAGTCCTCTGGCACCTCGCCAGAGCACCACGTGCTCATAAAGCCGTGCCAGGGGTCCTGCAATGACCTCTGCTAATTCCCTTAGCACTCTGGGGTGGATATCGTCAAGACCTGCTGATTTGAACACGTCCAGTCCCACCAGAAGTTCCCTGACTAGGTCCTCTCTGACCCTGGGCCTGGCTGTGACTCCCCTGGGACCATCGGGGGTCCCGGTGGGAGGGATGACCTGGTCCCTGCTCAGAAAAATGGAGGCAAAGCAATTGTTATATAGGTTAGCTTTGTCATCTGGTGAGACCACCAGATTTCCTAGCGTGTCCTGCAGAGGCCCCACATTACCCAGAACCTTCTTTTTACCCCTTATGTACTTAAAAAAGGATGTCTTGTTATCCTTGATCTGGGTAGCTAGTCCCAGTCCCATCTCCGCCTTGGCCTTCCTGACCGCCCCCCTACAATCCCGAGCAACAGAGGTATAGTCCTCCCAGGTGATGGCCTCTCCGTTCCATTGGGTATACACCTCCTTTTTAGCTTTGAGATGTTCCTGGATGCTTTTGGTGAGCCATGGGGGCTCTTGAGCACTCTTGCCCCCTTTGACCCGTGTTGGGATTGCCACCCTTTGGGCTTGGAGGATTGTCTCCTTCAGGAACGACCACTCTTCCTGGACTCCCAACTCCCTATGCCTCCAGGACCTCAGTCCCTCCCTGACTAGTCTCCTTAGTTCAATGAAATCCACCCTCCTGAAGTCCAGGGCTGCTGTCTTGCTGCAGGCCTTTGCCACCCTGCGCTGTAGGTGATGATTGCTGTCATCCAGATGAGCGAGCACCCGCAGACCCTTCACCAGGTCATCGCTTGTGGCCAGGACCAGGCCTAACAAGGCTTTTCCCCTGGTGGGATTGTGCACCTCCTGGGTTAGATGGAGGTCCTGTAACACGGCTAGGAACCTATGTGAGCGGTCAGACCTGGCTGACTGCTCTTCCCAGCAAATGTCCGGATTGTTTAGGTCACCCAAGATGACCACGTCCTTTGACCACATTTAATGTTCATACAAGAGTGAAATTCAAGGCCCATATATATTTATCACTTAAACCCTATTTTGAGAGGTTAAGTGGGACTAAAGTGAATAGATCTGTGTTGGCCCTTTGCACAGAACTGAATTTCACCCAGCAGGGATTAATTTTCTGCCACTTTCCCTGCTTGTCAAGAAATAATTCTCTATAATTAGAAGAAAAATCATATTAATAGTCTCAGGAGGACTCCTCTGAAAGTAAGTATATTCTAGTTATTTTATGTATGTTAGGTTAAAAGCTTGCCAACTTTTACTGCTTGGAAAAGTTCTGGTATGGAGAGAGAAATACTTAAGAACTTGAATTGATACACTTCAATGGACATTTTGCATACAGTGGAAGTTTCTAGAACACAAAAAATAAGGGGGTCAGGCCTGTCTAAATTGTTTTACCAGGGCCATGTCACAATTCTCATACCATAGCTACCACATCGGAGTGCAGACTTCCTCTAGGGATACTATGACAACAGGTTTTAACTCACCTAAAACTCGAGTCTCTCATTGCCAGATAAAGGCAATCAAATGCATGATGTTGATGTGTCCTCTTGTGCATTTACATATGTTAATACTAAAGTAAAATAGCAGGATACAATCAAAGTAATACATCTTCAGAAGGCCCCTACTCAGACATTTCCTTTGCACCTGCTGTTACAGCCGCCACCATGGCTTATCAAAAGTGAAAATTTAGCTTGTCAAGTTTCTGCTACTTCTCACTTCCCCATGTACCCAGGTTACAGAATGACCAATATGGTTTGTGCTGTTGAGAGTTTCATGCACATAGCAGACAGGTGAAATTTGCATTAAGAAAAAAAGATTGCTGACTTCCAAAAAAATATTTATTTCATTTCATGAAAATATTTTTATCAGGATTTTAAAATGTGATTTTCCCTCTTAAAAATATAAATGTTTCAACTAGCAGGCTGCGTTCCTCAAAAGCCTTAGGTACTATACATTGACAAAGTAATTCAACAATTCCCATAAAATTCTATAGATCATTGAACTAATTAATTTTAAAAGATCCTCCCAATTACCTATTCCTGCTAGAAAAGAAGAATTGAATAATCAGCTATTAAATCAACCTTGGTCAAGCAACTATGGACCTCATAACCTCCGCAGAAGACGATGTTTCAGCTATGAATATTTCACTGCCTTTCTCTGGAATATGTCCAAAGCAATTCTCATGAGCCATGGATTATCTTTACTCTTTGAACCAACTTCTGCTCTTTGGTGTTTATGCAGGTTCCCACTGTTTGAAGCTCACGTGTAGATTCAACAGAAGAATATGCATTTTGTTGCATCTGTATCGCCACTAACTTGTTATTCAGGCTTACCATACAAGAATCACAGAAAGCATTGCGTGCTACAGTATCAGCATCTGGTTCATTAACTATACAGTAATACAACTTACTTCTACACCTAGTCAGTATCAATGGTGCAACAAAGCAAAATTCACTCCTGTCCCTTTAAAATCCCTGGACTTAAAAGTTCAGTTCTATCAAGCTATTTTTTTTTATATGTAAAGGAGAACACAAACATAAGGCTTTTTCTTTGGTTGGGGGGGAGGGGGGAAAGAGGAGAGAAGGAGAAGGAGGGGCAACTGTCTTCCACAGGACAGGATGGATTTTAAAAGGAGCAGAACTTTATATTATCCAATTCATATCAGTAAAGCTTTCTGCCCCCTGGGATGAAGAGATAAGCAGTAAAATCTGAAAGACCTTTGTAGCATGAAAGGGAAGTAATGTAGAGTATGGAAAGTATTTGCCTTCAGTTTATTAATGTTTCCACTATTTAAATAAACTCTTCAAAACACCACAGCATTCTGGAATGAGAGAGTAGTGGCCTTCCTAAAATACAAGATGGTATATGGGAGACAGAGAGAGGTAGATGGAAAAAACAAAAAACTGTTGACACTCTTAATTGGACTTTAAGAGGAAGTATTACTTTCCTAACTAATACTGGATTTAATATTTTCAAAACAACTTCTCTGTCAGGACGTATAGCAGCAGTTCCCAACCTGGAGTTTCAGCACTTGAAGGCGGGACAGTAACCCAATAGTTCTAGTGGAAGAATCAGGCTTTGACTAGAAGTCAAGTAATGGACCCAGAAAGACTAAGAATTACTGCCATACAGTATGTTCCTGCATCTGAAGAATAACTTCCCTTAGATGAAACCTCCTTTTAAAAGCTAAGAAGGATATTTGCTTGCATGCCCCCTCCTCCCTTGCTCAAGCAAAACACATATTTTGTTTTTAAAAGGCTGAATGTAGAAAAAAAGATTTTTCCAGAGTCATGGCTGATTGCGTGACAAAGTCCTCCTGGAAACACAGTGTCCAGGAAGTGCGGCATTCCATACTTGTGGGTGAGACAGCAAGAACTTCTTGGTGTAGCATGACAGCAACAAGGCTAGGTCCCAGACATCTGCAAGGGCACTAGCAAGACTTATTAATTTGGTGTAAATAGCTCTTTATGTAAATTCCTGGAAATAATAAAACATTGTTTCTATACCAGAAGCCACATCAAGATGTTACAGAATGCATGCAGCAGCTCACCCACCTTTAACCAGATCAGTGAGGATTCAAAGCTACAACCTCACCAGTGGCTGCAGGAGAGCTAATACTGGACTCTGCCACTGCTGTCTATAGATCCAGGGAGGAGAAGCAGCAACCATCTTGGTACTGGATATAGCTGAAAAAATACATAAGCCTATATATCTGAAGAATGCTGGCCTTGAACCATTCAAAAGTGATTGCAGGTTCCTCAAGTTTCATAGTTTCACAGTCTGTAGGTTCAGAAGGGATCTGAGTAGATCAACAAGTCCGACCCCCTGCCAAGGCAGGAAAGAGTACTGGGGGGAAACGACCCCGGCTAGGTGATTGTCTAGCCTCTTTTTGAAGACTCCCAGGGGAGGAGCAAGAACCACTTCCCTTGGAAGTTGGTTCCAGATCCTAGCCGCCCTGACAGTGAAGTAGCACCTCCTGATGTCTAGTCTGAATCTACCCTCTGCCAGCTTGTGACCATTATTTCTAGTCATTTTGGGCCAAGGGGTTAAGTCATGCTCTGTTTGCAAATACAAAAGAAAATAGCCAGATAAAGAATCAGTCGTGTTGGAAACAAAGCCATGGACTTTTAAGTCACAGTTTTCACTTTTAAGCATACTTTCCTTTTTAAAAAAGTGAACCATATTCTTATCTCATTTACCCACAGAATTTAAAATAGATTAGCACCTCTGTAATGGAGATTAGGATGACCATTGCCTCTAACTGAAAAGCACTTTCCACTGGCAGTACTTCAAAAGCATTAATGCTTCCAAGATTCCAGAAATGTATGCAAGTGTAGTATCATCACCTACTGAAAAAGGGCTGTTCTTGTTGCTTTCCAAGATCTCAATTTTTTTTCTTTTAAGATATTTACAACAAAACATGTCAAGCTCTTGTTGCTTCAGTTTTAAAATTAAACCTCTAAAGGGTAACTTGTCAGGGTATCATTACAGATAGACAGCTCCTCATGTCTGAATTTCAAGTTATTCTGCATTAGGAAGGAATTAGTCTTCGAGTGTGTGCAGTTTCTCAGCTCCAATTCTTTGGTGAAACAGAATTCAATTTGACCAATCGTTTGCACATCTTCATCCTAGGAGCAGTAAAAAGGAGATATTCAGCTTTTAAATACATTTTCAGAGTACTGCAATAGAGGAAAAATGAATTATATACAACACCTTAAATATGTGGTCACATGTAGATCATTTTATAAATGTTAAGTATGGAAGGGTAATGATTCTAGAGGTATCCACTGCATACAGCCACCTTTTTCCATTTATCTAATTTGCAAAGTGTGCAAATAAATGAATCAACATGGATGCTTGACAGCAAATGTCTGTGATGAACGGGGAAATCTTTCTACTTAACTTATAAAATTGCTGCATCGTTAAGTGTCCCGCTGTCCCACCATGGGCTGATGGGGTGCCTGACATGTACCACACAATAGCTCTGTCTGAAAGCAGCGACAGAACTACCAAAAGAAGTTATTAACCATAACAACTGAGCACTAGCTGAACAACAGGTAAACAAACAAGGATGTCTAGCATGGGAAACCAATTTACTCCCAACTTCTCAGCAGAGACTTGGAGATTAAAGCAACAGAATTTCCCCACAAAGGAAATAGTTATAGTGTTAGCCATATAATATAGAAATACTATGTGCTACTGCTTGAGAACCAGAAGCAGTCTAGCTGAAGTAGAGTGGAACTCCAGGAAGAAATTTAGTTTTCATTGAGCTCCAGGGCTGCCACA